CTGTCAACAGTTATGGTGTTGGAAACCCATATAGTGGGGTCACAATGAGTAGGGATTGACTCCAAGGAAGGGTGTGTGGGTTTTGACAAATTCATAATGATAGCTATCAACCATTATAGTTTCACAGAGAATAATTTTACAGCCCTAAAAATCCCCCATTTACCCTCCCTTCTCCCTCCCTGGTAACTACTGATCTTTTACTATCTCTCTCCTGTTGCCTTTCTAGAATGACATATAGTTGGAATAATACAATATGTGTTACCTTTTTAGACTGATTCTTGTTTTACTTAGCAGATGCATTGAAGGTTCGTCTCTAGCCTTCTGTAGCTTGATGTACATTACTTCTTATGGCCACACAACATTCCATTGCATGGATGAGCCACGTCTATTTTGTCAGTCACCCGTTTAAGGACATCTTGGTTGCTGCCAGTATTCGGTGACTGAATAAACTGATATACACATTTCTGAATGGGTTTTTGTGAACCTAGGTTTTCAACTCAACTGGACAAATGGCAAGAATCACATGGTAAGTCTTTTCTTAGCTTTAAGAAAATGCCCAACTGTTTTTCAAAGTGGTTGTACCATTTTGCATTCTACCAGCCATGAATGAGCATTCATGTTTCTCCACATCCTTCTCACCATCTGGCATTATCAATGATTTTGAGTTTTAGCCACAGCAGGTATCATGTCACATTGTGGTTTTAATTGGTAATTCCCTAAGGACATATGATGTTGAAGGTAATTTCATATGCTTCTTTGCTTTTTTGAGATATAACTCACATACAATACAATGGTCCCTATTAAAGTAACAGTTAAGTGATTTTAGTATGTTCCTGAGTGGTGCAACCATTGTCAATATCTAACTTTGCTCTGGTGATTATTAGGTGCCACCAAGTCATGTCTAATTCATAGCAACCCTACGTACAACGGAAGGAGACATGGCCCAGTTCTGCACCATCCTTAAAATTTTCTTATGTTTAAGCCCATTGTTACAACCACATTGTCACCCATCTCATTGAGGGTCTCCCTCTTTTTCACAGCCTCCCTACTTTACCAAGCACGATGTCCTCCAGGAACTGGTCCCTCCGGGTAATATGTCCAAAGTAAGCGAGCAAAGCCTTGCCATTCTCACCTGGATCGAAGAACAACCTGGCTGTGCTTCTGAGAGACGTCTGTTCATTCTTCTGACAGGCCATAGTATACCCAACAGTCTTCACCAACTCCATAATTCAGAAGAATCGATTCTTCTTCCGTCTGCCTTATTCATTGCCAAGGTTCTGCATGCAGAAGACGTGCTTAAAAATATCCCGGCTTGGGTCAGGCACACCTGAGTTCTCAGAGTGATATGTTTGCTTGTTAACACTGACGAGCTCTGTGCAACAGATTTGCCCACAGCAGTACGCTGTTGCAGTGCTTGACTTGCTTCCATGGGTCATAACGGTGGGTCTTAGGAAAACGAGACCCTGGGCTACTTCAGCCTTTCCCCCACTTATCGTGATGCTACTTAGTGGTCCAGTTGTGGGGATTTCTGTCTTTATGCTGAGGCTGCCACCTGTGATCTTCATCAGGAGTGTTTTGAGTCTTCTCCCTGCTCAGTCAACAACCTGTCACATGTATATCACAGCTTGCTCACGAGTCTTCCTCTAACCCTGATGCTTCATGCTTCTTTACGTAGTCCAGCCTCTTGGATTGTTTGCTTGACATCCAGATTAAATAAACATGGTGAAAGGATACACCCTCA